TCAAGATCATTTTAAATAAAAAAAAAAAAGAACAAAGGGAGTATCTGGAAAGGTAAAGTCTTACTATCGCATAAAAAGAATAGCTTAGGTAACAGCTTCTGCTTTTATTTGACATCATTAAAAAACAAACAAAAGGCAGGTTCTGAATAAAATATACCATGTCTTGAAATTGTTATAAAATTGCACACTATATTTCACCTGCACTGAAGAGAAATAACCTGTAGCTTTCGTGATGTGATCTGGCATAATAATACATCAACAGAGTTATCAGACAGAAAGACGTATTTGTTTTCCAGTGACTGTATGAATAGTAGAATAAGTCAGGCACTCTACCGAGATTCAGTATTTATTTATGACAGCTGGTATAAAACTCTCTCATACATCTGTATAGCTAGATGATTTGACTAATAAATATATCCTGGAAAAAATGTAGCAATCATTGAAGTCCTTAATAATGGACATAATTTATCTAAATGATATACTTGGAATATAGTACCTGATTCCATGAATCCTGTCTGTCCAGTCAGGCTATTGAGAGACCAGATACATTACTCTCAAAAGTTTTTACAACTGTTGTTCTTAGCAAGCAAGTGCAAACTCCATGCTTTCTTGATTTATAGGATAATGTTGCAAGCAATACAGTGAATAAAATGGTATATATTGAACAATTTCACTTACAGGATTAGTTAATAGCCTTAGGTAGGCACTAGCGAATTACCTGTTTGATTAACAGTTGAGAACCTGAAGGTATGCTGTATCTGAACTTTCATTTAAAAATGCACATATAGGTTTTAATGTCAAAACAACAACATTCTCCTAGCTCATTTTCTCACTGTTGCAGCTTTTGCATAGAAACCATTCTGCTCAACTCACCAAGTATATTTGTGATATACAGTGCTACCGAAACAAAAAGAGTATTTTTTTAATGTTCTCTGTTTCCATCTAAGAGACAATTTAAATGCAAATAGTGCACAGTTATTTTCATTGTGAGTTAATTTTTTTCAGATTTGGAACCTCCTTGTTTTTTGGTAAGAGATAATTATGGAAAAGGCATTTCAATAAACGAGTGGAAACTGGTTTACTCCTTGAAAGGCTGTTTGATTAATTGAAAAGAAAGGTTCAGAAGGAGTCATTGTGAAATGCTGGATGAATGTTCTGGAGACTTCAGTGAGAATTAATTGTTTCAACAAACTATGAAGTAAAGTCTTACAAGGAATGTCTGGAATGGATGGACTGTAAAAATTGTTTACGGAAAATGTGTACTTACCTAGTATTTTTAAAAGTAGGCAATAATGAGTTTCGATGTTGTGTAGTAAAGTGCCCACTGCTGGTGTGGGTGATGGGAGGAAAAAAGGTGAAACTTCTGCTCAGTTTAGGGTCTTGTCGTGAAAGAAAACTGGCACATTGCCTGTATTATTCTTAGGGTCTCATCTGTTAGTGTCAGTTGAATTACTCACTTTGTTTTAATCAGTTGCAGATGTGGTAAATCATTTCTGTACTTAAATTTTAAGAAAGCAAGTGACAGCACTTTCAATAGACATTTGAAGAGAATTTCATGTTCTATGAAAACTTCAAAAGTTTAGGGTTTTGTTGCTTTTTGCCCTCCCCCAAAAAAGAAAGAGAAATTAACAAATACTGAGATTCTTTACAGAGGGAATGCTGACCCTGGGAGAAGTACATCTGACTTTGTCATGTGGCTACAGATAGGAAGCCTTTGGCAGATGGGCTGCAATATGGCCATAAATGCCAGAAATACATCCTGGAGCAGGAGCTGTAAGAATAGGGGCTGTGAAGGAGACAGTCCAATGCAGGCAATGAGGAGAACTTTTATTAAAAGCCTGTGTGGGAATTCAGACTAGAGAACAGTTTGACAAGAATCAGTAAATACTAGTGGGGGAGGGGGGTAAATATGCTTCAGCAACCTGTGTTTGAAACTTTAAGTGGCAACTCCTTTTTGTCGTTTGTCTGTTGCTTTTTTGAACTACTGCCATTGTTCTGCTGCTGATATCTGTGCTAGAGCTGCAAGAAGATTGTAACATTATATTGACACATCAAACCCTACAATTTGTTAGATCAAATCAAATGGGTTGTAGGGTTAAGGCAATCTCACCTGCGTTGTGAAACAAAATCTGGATTCCTCAGTGTCTCTGTTGATACTATTCGGCTAAATAAAAATTTAGTTTGACCTTATAATACTTCTGCTAAACAAGCTTTGGTATTTTATTTCCTGACAACTGAGAAAAGGAAAGGTCTGGCGTTAAAGCTATTATATTACCCACTCAAAGTGTCTTATATGGATGGGTAACTCTGTCAGACTTCCCTGTATGCCAGGAGCTTTTAAAATAAGTAAATTAAATTGCGTTGTGGTAAGATTAAATTTGTGGGCCTATGTTCAGTGGCATCTAAAAATGCCCAATAATTACAGTATGCCATGAATTAGATCCACGGAATATGAGAAAGATGGGTTGGATTATGTCATGTCTTGGAATGACATAACGTGGAGCAATATGATATTTGTGTCTCCTCAGTGGATGGAGGCTGGTCCTGTTGGTCGTCTTGGTCAAAGTGCTCAGCAACTTGTGGAGGAGGGCATTACATGAGAACCCGCTCCTGCACAAACCCAGCACCAGCATATGGAGGAGATATCTGCCTTGGACTGCACACTGAAGAAGCACTCTGCAACACACAGCCGTGTCCAGGTATGGCAAATCAGCCCATGCAGCTTTGTTGTTTCTGTGACACAGAATAAGGCATTAACAGTTAGGCAACATAATGCGCCTTGATGTATTATTTAGGAGCAAATCACTTCTCTCCCTTATTAAGTGCACAATCAGCTCTTACATGATGCAATCACAGTAAATCAAGTAATACCAGGATGTAGCCTCCAGGACACCACCTCCTCCCTCCCCCTTTAAAAATTAAAGTTACCAGGTTCTGAGTCTACATAAAATAAAATTGTATAATATTTGAAGTGGATCATCCAAATGGCCTAGGAGACTTTTAATAATATCACAAAGTGCATTTGTTGTAACACTAAACATTCACAGCAAGCATATTGCAGAGGTTAATATTCAGTAGCATATATTGTCACAAAGCCCTTCAAGTAGATAATGTTTGACCCGTTTTCATATAAAACACAGAGCAAACCTTAATGCTTTTTGTAAAATACCTTCTTCAGCTTCAGATCTTAAGGAGCAGAAACTTCATCTTTTTAAACGACTGTGGAGTGCTTAGTAAATGAAATGTCTCGGCACTCCTGCTACTTGTATGATATTATGGATCATGACTTCTTCTATAACTTTGACTTTACCTTTTGACTCGTATTAAAGGAAACTGCTTTCTTCATGAAATTAAAGTGAGAAGTAGAGAGTAAAACCACACAAAACTACATAAAATCATTAGTGAAAAGCCAGTGGGAAAATTTGTTTTCATTTGTTGCTGATTAATGGCTTAAAGGCAACAGCAAAAGGAAGTAAGTAGCTCTGATGCCACGTTGTATTGCTTTACTGAGTGTTCCTAGACTTCATAGCAAAAGTTTTCTGCATGTATGATCAGGCTGTGCTTGTGAAGGCACAAGCCCCATGAGTTTGAATTTATGGATCCTATTACCCATCCTGAACTACAATTTAAGTTAATTTCCTTTTCTAGGCACTGCATGTCTTGCAGCAGAATAAAACTACCTACTTTGTCAAAATTAAAGCAGGTGCAATACTCTGTATTGGGTTTTAAAAAAACCCTAACTTAGAAATCAGTTGATGATTTGATTTTTTGAGACAAATAGTGTATATTTGTATGTAGAGGTTGCATAGCTGCCTTGGGATCCTTAAGACATCTTTAAAAGGTCAGAACTGGCACGATCATTGTGTTGGTATTGTAGCTATTTCTCTTCTTGCACATTTATTTTCTACCACCATTTTTCTAGAAATGACAGTTTGAAAACATTTATAAATAATATCTTCACCTTATTTTGACCTGCTTTCCACCCTAATTTTGGAGTAGATGGGGGGTGGAGGAGGAGGTTGGTTTCATTTTGGTTCAAGAAAGTGAAAACCTTTAGAAAGCAATAAAATTTCAGAGGGTGAAGTGCATTTCTCACATTGTGTGATATTTTATTAATATTTCAATCTCACTGAAAATTTGCCTAAAGTTTTTGAAACAGCACATCATCAACTAGCTGTGACACTGGCCCTTGCCTCATGTCTATGATATAGGTTTCAAAACTGTTTTTTACGGCTCTTGTTTCCCATCGGTATGGCACAAAAATAACTGCAGTGCTACACATGTCAATTTTGGACAAACTCCTGCATCCCTGCAGAGCCATTTTCTTGTGGTAAGGATCATGTGGTCACTGGTTCCTCCTTGTGCAGATCTGGAAGTACCAATGGTGACATTTACTGCATGAGTGACTTGTTTAATGTAGGAAGGGAATAGTAGTGACATTTGGAGCCTAAGAACAACCAACCAACACAGAAATGCATATGCAAAAATGGAAATTATTTATAGCGTTTCTTAAGTTGTGGGCTGCTCTCTTACTCCTCCCGGTGGGATGGGGGAGAGAATCAGAAGGGTAGAAGTGAGAAAACTTGTGGGTTGAGATAAAGACAGTTTGGTAGGTAAAATAAAAACTATGCACACAAGCAAAGCCAAACAAGGAATTCGTTCACTGCTTCCCATCGGTAGGCAGGTGTTCAGCCATTCCCAGGAAAGCAGGGCTCCGTCAGGCATAACGGTTACTTAGAAAGACAAAACGCCATCACTCCGAACATCCCCTCTTCCTTCTTCTTCCCCCTGCTTTACATGCTGAGCATGACATTGTATGGTATGGAATATTCCCTGTGGTCAGTTTGGGTCAGCTGTCCCTGCAATGTCCTGGCTGCACCTGACCGGCCAGCATGAGAAGCTGAGAAGTCCTTCATTACTTAGCAACGAGTAAAAACATCAGTGTATTATCAACATTCTTCTCATACTAAATCCAAAACGCAGCAGCTACTGGGAAGAAGATTAACTCTGTCCCAGCCAAAACCAGGACACTTGGCATTTGAAGTAGTACTTTTTTTGAACAGACAAAACTAGCAGAAAACTTAAATTTCTAGAATCTTGATGCTAAGGATTCTTTGAGGATATGGAGGGTTAATGGCAAATCCAACCGAAAGCTTGCAAGTATGCACTTAAAAGACAGTAGCAGACTTGCATCTGCAAAATACATCAGTTTTGCTCATCTTTCTTTTTAAAAGCTTTATCACTGTGTTTGTGTTTTTTCTTTTAATTTATCCAAATGCAATCACGTTAATATGAGCGGAAGGCTTATCAGCAATCGTAACCAGTTGCAACAGTGTCTCTAATGTTCTGAATAAAACCTAAATACCTGAAGTATTCACTGCTGCTGTAAGAGGGAGAATATATTCTGTCCTTTAATTGCTAACTCGCACATGCAAATAATGGATAAAGCACTTGAGCATTTAGAAGTCATGGTGTAGTTCTGCATGAAAGAAATCTATAATCTTACAGACTGGTGGTGTGAGCTTTCCGAGGTGCCTTCTTCACTAAGAGATCTTGCAGGAACTGCTTGGACTTAACCTGACTTCAAAGGCCAGCCAGGACTCCGTAAGAAGAAGACATGGTGTCTGAGTAAGCTTTGCTGTGTTAGAGGTGAAAAGCAGTTCCAGATTAAACACCTCTCCAGTCCACCCTCTCTCTTCCATCCTCATGATTTTTGCAAAGAACTGAGGACCAAGTTGAGAGGAGCCTGCCTGAGGTGCAAGAGAGCCTCCAATGCTTTGAAGATAAAGAAATGAAAGGGATGAAGCAGGATAACTGAGTCTGTAGAAGTGCATGCAAAAGCTTTGGGCTCAGCATCTCTGTGTGACTCTCTGAGCTCCCAGCAGTGGCACTCCTTGAAACACAGGTTTGGTACCAATTGCAGGAGTGTCCATCCCTCTCACACTCACACTGATGTCCCCTCTCTCCTCTTCTGTGGTTCGGTGTGCCAGATGGAGCTGATCAGCGTGGCACCAGACCCACTGACTACCTGTGCTGTAGTACCTGGGCTGCTCCGTGGGACTCCAGATGGGAGGGAGATGCCCTGTGTGGCATATGTAGGAAGGTCCCAATGCACATAGTGCCTTATATAGGACCTCTAAAGGGCAGGCTGAAACAGTAGCCTTGCCCAGTCACCAGTATGTAGCCTAGCATGATCTATGCATAATCTCAGCTTCCTGTTTTATCATGGGATGTAGCCCCTTCAGCAAGGAACCTGATGGGCCAAAAGCACATTGGACAAGACCGGGCTGCAGAGTGCACCAGCCAACAAGCTGTATTTAGGATGCTCATGAGCATTTTGGCAGCTGCTGCATGTATCCCAGTTATACCAGGACTGGGCGAGAATATTGGCTCTGGCTTTAGCGTGCTCTCTGCCACTGGTGAGATCTGGGCCCAGATCTGTAATGAGCAGCTTTCCTTTAGACTTGAATGTGCAGGGCTTTATCGTTACTCAACATTTAAGGTAAGGATCCATGTATTCAGTTTCCTTAGGTCCAGCAGATGGCACTGGTGGTGACAATAGCTCCTGGCCATGTCACACTATAAAAGCAGGAAGAAGTCTGCTCCATTTGCTTGATTCCCACCTCAGCTCTCTTACCCCTCTGAATTAGGATTCAACAACATTATATCGTCTGCCTCCGTGCTCCTACTACGCACTCTGCAAATGAGGCCCTTCCAGGACCTCTCCGAGAAAACAGAAGAGCCAAAGAAGAAAGCTGAGTATCCTTGCTTCTCACAGTAACAAGATCCTACTGTTTGAAATCAGCTGCTTGTGGCAAGGTATTTGCCCTGTTGCTCAAAGGAGGTCCCATCCAGACAGTTGATAATTGTTCATAAATATTAATATCCAGGTTCTTACCTGAGCTGCTGAGTACATCTGTTTTGTGAACAACTGCACAAGTGACGACACGCATCTGAACAACAGACTGCTAGGACTGATTGCTCCTGTCTCTAACCAGCGCTCTCCTGCTGTCTTGAAAGTGGTCCCAGGACCACTGTTTGAGATTTTCTGTGCTAAAATTATGTCCATCTCCTCCATCTATTTCTTTTTACCATGTTGTTGATCAGGAAGTGAATGTCCAACACGGGCATGGAAAGCGTCTACTGCTTGACATTTTTAAAAACTGCAATCTCAAATATTCCTACCGGTATCTGTTAAATTTTAGATGACTGAGAGTTTTAACCTTTTCCTCTATGGCCAAGGGGAAAGTAATGAGTAAATGTGAACCTTGTGTGCTGGATTTATGCAAGATATAGCAAGTGGCCCAAAACAGTGCAAGACTTTCCTGACTTTCCACCTAATTCAGAAAAAGTGTACAAAACCTTCAAAAATTTTTCAAATTATTTACAAATTTTAATGATCTTCAGTCTAACTTGAGACTAAATTATATACTTTTTAATTTGAAGTAAAATGAAATTTGTAAATTTGCTTCGTAGCAACACAAAATCAGATACAATTTTGAAGTAGAAACAAAACTTGGTTTGGCGTACTAGGGCTATTTAATGCATATCAAGACCATAAAACATATCTCAGTGAGAAAGCCAACAGAAGACAGAAAAATGTTTAACTGAGCTCTGTCTTCTACTATACATGCCAAACTCAGAAGAATCCTATGAAGGCAAGACTTGTGCTTGAATTGTAAGAAAGCTGAGCTCAGTAAACTCACAGCATCTCATGGGAATGAGATCAATTCACTTCATTTAAGGGAAGTATTCTGAGATCACACAGGCATGAAATAAAAATGTCTTAATCAAAACTGCATAGGGAGAGGAAGAAATACAGAGAAACAACAGAGGCTGATAATGAACTGAATGGGGAAGAGAAGGTGAGAACACTTGATGAGATCTCTTCTATCTACAGCAAAGAAAGGGACCTGAAATAACAAAAGCTAAAACAAAAAAAAGGTATCTCCAAGATACTACTGTTTTTCTAGTTAAACATCCTGCTTCAGAATACATATTCTTATAGCTCTCATTGCTCCTTGTCAGGAACATAAAAAAAAGACAGTGTCATCTTCCACCCTAAAGACCTAGACTGGAATTAACTCCGCAGCAATCACTCTTTCAGTCACCACTGCAGAATCCCTCCAGCTTCTCACTTCCACACACAAAGGCCATGGCAGAAGCCAAAGCCATAATATGTCTGCAACAAATTTGTCATCACACTCTGCATTTCAGAGACTTTTGCCGAAGCCAAACTGCCTTTGTTTTATCGTAATGAAAGAGCTGTCCTCTGCTAGTTGGTGGTAGCTGGGGACAAGGTCTTTGGTCATAATTCAGAAACACAGCCTATTTCTCTCTCTCTCGGTGTACTTGAAGGATTTAATTGCAGCATTGGCATGTGTGTCCCTCTCTGCCTGTTGCAGACAGCTGGTCAGAGTGGTCCGAGTGGTCCGACTGCGACTCGTCCGGCCTCCAGTTCCGCGTTCGTCAGTGCATCGTTCTCTTTCCCGTGGGCAGCCAGTGCACGGGCAACACCACGGAGAGCCGAGCCTGTGCTTTGGATTCCAACTTTATACCAGGTGAGATCAGCCCATTCCTCAAAGGAGTAGTGAAATGCCTCAACGTTTCAAGAGCGAGGCGTAGCACTGC